CCACCTCCACCTTTCATGCATATTCAGTAGCTTTTAGACAACAGTGTAGGTGAAAATCTCATCCACAAGACTTCTGCAATAGGGCCCTGCACTCTCCCACTCAAAAGTAGTTGCCTTCGGTACACAAAAACTCAATGCAATGAGGACCAATCTCTGATCCATACCCTAGGTTGTTAATGCGCACTGTTGACGGCACGGCGAAACCCATAATGAGAAGATAAATGCGGCCAAAGATTGAACAGACAATTTTTATACCTTAATTAGCTTCTCAGTATCCTCCTTGTCCGAAAGTTCAGAATCTGAGCGAACGTCACCCGCTTCTCCTTGAGTAATGGTTTTTACGACAATCTTCAGAATGATGATGGTCCAAAATATATGAAGAACAAGCAGAGCGAAGAGCATGAGGATGATGAGGCGTGGAGCGTAAGGGACCTAAAATTTTTTGAATTTTGACAAAGTTCGCTGAAAATTGAGTTCATCTTACAGGAGTCATAATCGGAAGGAAAAGACAACCGGGGCATCAGTGTTAACTTGAGCTATCCAGTAACTTCAATGTAGCAAACCTGAGTTAAGTCCAACAACTCATAATCAGGTTGGATCAAATCGGCTGCCTCGAACAGAGCGGAACGGACGAGAACGAGCGGATAGTATCCCAAACGGGTTAAAATCCATCTGAAAAATGGAAACAGATACTGAATGATTGAAACGATGGCTAAATCGGAATGACGAAAAGTTTAGAAACCACTGTGAAAGAGAATGGCTAGTGGCAATAAAAAACTGGAGGGTAGGTATTTAAATAAATCAAACCTCAAGCTAATTATTGGTTATATTCAGACAACGATTGAAAGCAATTGAAGCTCACCCAGTCAAAAACACAACAAAGCAACCATTCGTCAGACTTTTGAGATTCCTGTCGTATCGGGTAAGTTTACCGAATTCCAGTAGAATATCAGCAACGTCATGTGAGATCAGCACAAGCGTACCAGCTCTAGAAAAACTACGTCTTCAACGTTTTCAGGGTTACTTACAAAAAAACATTTTCTGGAACGAGTTCTCATAACTCCTAACTAAAAGGTGCCAAGGAGGAAGTAGAGTCGATATGTGTCTGTATAGGGGCATAAAAGCGCTGGATGGAGCACCGAGCTTTAAAACGCTCGAAAGGGACTCAAGAACATACTTGGATTCTCGGATACCTTGCTCCTGATCATTTACACTATAAAACCCGATCACCCTCGCCTCACCAATGACATTTGGGCCACAGCTCATCACACCACAAGCACAGCATATCTTACATCCATGTTCTTTGAATTGGAAGTAGAAAACTAACGCTAAATGAAAGGAAAGGTTTGAAACTTCCGTAAACTGCTTCAGAGCCCACGGCTGTATCTATTAGTTTGTTCGCCACCATGACGTCTGAAGCAATTTGCAGACTTCTCCCTCTAAGCTGGAAGGAGAGAAGATCTCGCAGTTGATGGTTCAGCAAGTTCATGGATTATTAATTTACATAGTACACTGTAT